TTCTTTTGTGGTTTTCCATGAAACATTTATGTCAAATTTTCGACATATTTAGAGTTATTACGGATGGTGGTAAAGTTTAAACTGTTATGGCGACTTTGAATTCTTTGTTTRTTTGGGCTAGATGAAAAGTTATAAGGTTTACCTAGAATATGAAACTCATTCAAGGAAATGGTGATTGCAATTCACTTGAATTTGCAGTATTTTTAAAATGGATTTTAGATATTGGTGATAAAAAAAATCAATAAAAACCATATAATGAAATCAAAGCAATGGGTAGACAAGCACAAGGGATAAATGCTGGCACATAACTTTGTGAGAAGACGCAACGTGAACACAAAAATATACACCAAAATAAACCAAGCATCCCACAGTTAACCGATAATTTTTACTAAAAACCAAATTAAATTGAAAAATTATTTCTTTATGTAACGTTGCATTCAAATCAAATTTTTCTACAGGCGAACTGAAGTGAACCGTAGTTTTATTCAATATGTGAGGGTTAAAGATCTCTTCTTAGGGTCTAACTTCTCTTCAAAATTGAACCGTAGTTTTATTCAGTGTGTGAGAGTTAACTTTTCTTAATTTGCTAAACATTTAATTTAAATGTTTTGCGGATATTTAAATTAAAAAAATGTTTTGCTTAAATTTATGATCGCTTAACCTCACATATTAATTTTTAAAACTTTTTAATTTGCTAAAAAAATAAATGGTATATATACATTCAAAAAAAAATCATTAATATAAAACAAGTATTCAAGTATTCGATAATAACATTTTATTTTATTATTTTAGTAACCAAATCAGGATTGTTGTAGTAATTTCACTAAAAGCCAATTCAAAATTAAATTTTTGTTTTGTTTGCAACAATATATATATGAGCCAAAAAAAATAAATAGTCGAACTGAATTGCATCGTCGTTTTATTCGTTGTGTTTGGGTTAAGGCTCCCCCATCTTAGGGTATAGCTCCTCTAAAGAATTGATTTATAGATTTATTCAGTCTGTGAGGGTTAAGGCTTCCCTCATAGGGTTTAGCTCCTTTTAAAAATCGAACCATTGTTTTATTCAGTTTGTGAGGGTTAAGGCTCCCCTCATAGGGTTTAGCTCCTTTTAATTTGCAATAAAAAATAATTGTAATTGGTTTTACAACAATATATTCTTAAATCGTTTATTATAAATCGTAACTTTCGCATTGGGCGATATGCAATGGGTGCATTTAAAAATAAAATAGAAACTACAATAATATGTAAATTATACTTCATATTTTTAAAATTCGTTATTCAGTTTTTAAGGTTTCAAAACAATGGATTGAATTTTGATGAAAAACTTGTGGGTCTGGTCTAGAATACTAGAATCAACCTTACAAAAAAAAATACATGGCATGAAAGTTGCTTGTGTATAATACTTTTTGTTAAAATATACACTATCACATAACCTCGCTTCAATTTGTTACAAACCAATCACATTAATCAAATAGATTGTTAGATCTCTTGAGTTTCTTATATTCGATCCATTTTCCTAAACCCTTTTCTTTATCCCTCTTTTCCTAAACATACATTAAGATTTGGCATTGTCCCTCTACATGCTTTAATTTCATTCACACTTTTTAAGTTTTCTTTAAGGTTAGTACAAGCAAGTTAGTATTCCGTTTAAACTTGCTCTTAAGGAAAAAGTAACATAATGAATTACCTACATGATTGTTGTTAGTTGCAAATCAAACGTATCCTTGGTAAATTACTACTTCGATTTTGTTACATAGTTCATGCAAAGGCGTCTTCAAATTTCTATGAAGACAAACAATAAATGTTGTAATACCCAGGGCCGTCTAAGAGGGGTGGCAAGTGGTTCTATCGCACAGGGTCCACGTGAAAAATTTTTAAATTCTTTAAGAGAAAAGGGTCCAATTTTTTTTGTTTTAATTTCTCTTGCAAAGGGTCTAAATTTTTTTATTTTACCTAGGGCCTTACAAAAAATTGAGACGGCTCTCGTAATACCACAAATAAGCTAAGGATAACTATTTTTTTTAGCTTTTTATTCGTTAGTTCGTTTGTTGTTTTTGTTCATATGCATGATATTTCATATCTGATCAATTGTGATTTTTTAAGGTGTTTTCAAGGAAGGTTCTTTTGGTTTGTGTGATGAGTGGGGGGGGGGGGTTATTTTCTTCAAAAGTATATATATTAATCGATCTATTTTGTTTCATATGCTTTCCTCTGTACATTTGTTTTTTTTTTATTTATATTTTTGAAAGCATAAAAGGATTTAGTTATTAATATTATATTTTTGGTTTTAATTTGTGCAGTGATGTTTGAGCCATTAAAAACATGTTCTCATGTGAATAATATTTTGAAATTCAATTACGGTGAATGCCATCTCATCGGATCAACATTTTTATCTCTTCATGCCCATATGAAAGAGAACTATCTCAAAATATTTTGTCAAAAGGTGTTAATTGAGGAAGAAAGCTCTTTCTTATTCTTCGTTCATTTTTAAGTTTTCTTCCACTCACATATTGTCAAGTAAATGTAACAATACTGTAAAGCGGTGTAATTTGAATTGCAAGATCTACTAAATATATTCGTAATATATATTTTGAATTATGTCTTACGCATTTCAAATCATATAAAATACTAAAAATCATTTTATATTGGCAATGATTTATCAAGCTTTGACATAAAATTAAAATTTTAATTATTTTCAAGTTGAAAGTAGTGGATTGATGAAATCAAAGCAATGATTAGATAAGCACGAGAAATATATGTTGGTAAGGAACATCATGAGAAGAAGAAGCGTCGCGGAAACACAAAAACATGCACCACAATAAAAAGAGCACCCCACCATTAACTCGGTACTTTTCAAAATAACAAATCGAATTAACACTTTATTTTTTTTTCTACAATGTTACATACGAACCAAAAAAAAATTATAGCCGAGCTGATTAGAACCGTAGTTTTATTCACTGTGTAAGAGTTAAAGCTCTCCAAGGGTTAAGGCTCCCCTCTTAGGGTTTAGCTTCTCTTAATTTGCTCAAAATCGAATTCTTTTAAAAGTTTTATGTAAATTTATGATTATTTAACTTCACATATTAATGTTTAGAATTTCGACCCAAAAAAAAATGTTTAGAATATTTTTTAAATTGCTTAAAGTATAAATGTTATACCTATAAAAAGAAAATATAAGCTGTTAGTATAAAACTACTGTCATTTGAATAATTGAATCGATAGGTCATTTGAATATCTTTTAATTTGTTTTGATTTCTTTATCTAAGAATACATGTGTTTGTTTCTGATGTTTAAATTTGGTTTAACTCTGATACATTGGATGATCTACTGAAGATGTGATCAATAAATTCGTGGCTATGATTTCAACCTTTCTTGATGAGAGTCGATGCAAAAAGATTGTTGTTGTTGTTCGCCGTATCTTAGAATGTAATGGTTTGGAATATTCTTAGTTTCTTTGACATGTTATTTCTATAAGATAGTTATGG